TGCTTTTCAATTGAAATAGTGCGCTACGATTTTATGCCGTTGTATGTATGTATGTTAGTATTTATAAAAAGTTTTATAAAGCTGAAAATGGAAGTAACTATCCAATAAACGACGTTGAAGTAAGCGTGCTTATAAATCAATATTTCCCAAACGTTTTTTACAAGATAATTCACAACTTTACAAAAATCAAATTTTTTACAATTTGTTAATGTTGCTGATATAAATGTGAAGTAAGGTAAGTTCTATGCTCTCATAGTCTGCGCCATGGTGAAATCATAATAAGGTGTGATCGATAGCAACATGTTTGTTGTGATTTTGACAAAGTCGGATGTCTTATTGGCGGTGTTGCCGATCCTCCTTTATATGATACTATTTGTATCGAGAAATAGTATCTCAAATCCTCTATTTTTGGTTTAAAGCATTTTTTTAAGAAATTAGTGTTTTTAGAAAATATTATTATTTAAATTGGCTGGCTTGGTAATACAAAAATCGTATGAAAATTCGATTTTTAATAATGAATAACTTTTTTTTTCATTCTCATTATATTAAACCAAATGGACTAAGGCAATTTCCTATAATGCTTGTAATGTTTTTTAGATAGATTAAAACACATTAATATGTATAACAAATAACAAGAGTTATAGGTTTATGTATGATCAAATCTAGTGGAACTATCGGTTCAAACATATAGTCAGGCTTAAAACCATATAATACACTACATTTTAAAATGGTATGCACAAACGTAGTAAAAGTTGTAAAGATTTAGTACTTTTCCTACTCCCTCTAAATGCGTGACCGGAATAGAAATGCCGAAAAAGTGCAGTGAATCTACTGATCACACCTTCTTATGATTCCACCATGGTCTAAGTTAGACATTTCAAAACAATTTCGATTTTAGTAACTACTGAAGATTATTCACTCAAAATTGACATTTACAATAATATTTAGACGAAAAATAAGAATATTATAAAAGTTTGGGAAAAGGGCGTGGCACCGCCCACTTATGATTACATACGTATATGTTCTCGGTAACCGTTCTACCAATTTGTACCAAATTCGGTACGGTTTTTGTGCTTGCCACATAAAAAAAAAAAAAAAAAAAAAAATATTGAAATCGGACTTAAATTACGGCCACTTTTCATATAACGGTCAATAAATGCTTGAAACTTCTATATTTCGAGATTTAATTCAAAATTGATACTAACAACAATCCTTTGAAAAGAAGTAATGGATTTTTGGAAAATAGGTGCTATACCGCCCACATATGACTATGTAAGTTTATCTCATTTTGTCTAACTGAACGTTCTATTGAAGATGTTTAAAATAGGGGTAAAACCGCCCCTGCTTCCATGTAGCGGCAGTTTTCGGAAAGCTGAAACACATATCGTCGTTTAAAGTACAAAGCCGCGTATCAACACAATGCAAAAACCGCGTATGTGCATAAATTATTTTCTAGTGATTAAAAACACTTATATTTCAAAATGGTTCTCTTTTCTATAATAATAATATAATAATAATATAATAAAATTATTCAATAGCATTTCTGGCTAGTATATTTCAGGGCGAATGGATAAGGTTTGAGCCAGGAGCTTGTGTGAGCAAATCTAATTTTTGGCAGCGAATGTCAATTATGTGGTTTTTCAGAATGATGAAACGCGGTTTTGTACTTTTTATTCAGTATTGTTTATTTTATATTTTGTATTTCGTATTTTTTATAACGTATTATTCATTTCATCGGAACCGGCAAAGTCAGATCAAAAGGATCGCTCAGATATGAGTTTTTTTATATAACTCCTCTATCTATATATGTATGCAGTGAAAGTAAACATTTTGTTAAGCCCCCAAACAACTAAATTAAAATAACTAAAAGTATAATTGTATTTGCGTGGTAAAATAACCAATTTTGTTACGCAAACAGCAAAACTTCCAAACATAAGCCTTTAGCATCTTTGTCCCGAACAACAAAAGCACAGGATTTAAAACTTAAATAATCTCCTGAATTTCTACTTGAAGAGACTGCTGCAGACTTCAAGAGGCAGCGTAAAATAACAAATCACATCACAAACACCCCGTGCACACAAATTCTTTCTTGCTGTACAACCTTCCAACTGTGCCACTCCCGCCACCAACACCCTGCCTGCTGACTCTACAATGACCCGCTTAACGCTAAACTATATTCAATTTGCACTCATTTGCATTACACTGTTTTCGGCGGCGGCGGTTGCACTTCTTGTGGCTGCAACTGTGGCCGCGGCTGTGTGTTTGGATATTATGCAAATTGTATTGCGCACTTTTAGGCGCACAAGTGCCAGTAAATCTTGTAATTGTTTTTTTTTTTACGGACCCACACTCTTGTTAGCTGGATGTACTAGTAGATATGTAAATTCTTACATTGGTGTATGTGAATGTGTCGCAAAATATCACCGCACTTTCTTTCGTGTTTTACATTTTACAACCAACGAAAAGGGCAGATTTCTAAGCGCAGACCAAACAAATGTCTTAAGCGGCGTGAGTTTGTTTTTGGTTTTTTTTTTGTCGGAACGAGAAGGAGCAATGGAAGAAAAGTAAATTTTTTGCATAGCCAAAAGCGCAGCTCGGGTCGCCCAGCGCTAAGGGAGGTGACTGCGGTGTGTCAAGCATAATCGCCCATTGGACAAGGCCACAAGTGCACTTGAGCACTTTTTGAAATGAAATGGAAATGAGCGTGACGCCTGGCGGGTTTGCGAAGGTAATCAGGCGCGCCAAGAATTTTGTGACGCTGTGGGAGTGAGGCCATCATCGGAGGAACAGCTGTCTCCGACCGACTGAATTACTTTTACTTGTAACTACTTCTACAACAAATCTACTGGGTGTACAAGCTGCTGTTGCATGGACCTCTCAGGTTGTTTAGTTGCTGGTAACAGAATACTTAAGCATGCTCCAACAAGTATGTGCACGTTCATCTCCATATGTACTACGTATCTATGTACAAACATATATTGATGTATGTATGTTTGGGTATTTTATACGTGTTTCTGGGCATTTGAAAATTATGCTATGTCTTTCTTAGCACTTTGCCTGCATTTGGAAACATACATACAATATGAGGATGTAGTATGTGGTAATGCATTTGAGCACACACCTTGAATGACTTTAGGAATTAGAATTTCAAAAATGAAATTCTGTCTCATGACTTACAGAGACCTATAAAAATCAAGTAGCACTTTGTGCGGCACAGTGCTGCAAATCTAATTATTTTATGAACAAATAATATGTGGAATGATCATTTTCCTTTCTTTGGTGCAAAGCCTTTGCATATAATAAATAAATGATTTTACATAGAATTAGTGCAATTATGATGCATTTCTGGCGTAATTGAGGCCCAAATTTACAAGAAGGTCGACTTTAATACCCTGGGGACTTTCGAGAATAAAAATCTTTTTTTTGGTTTTTCTCAATTGTTATTCAGATAAAAATGTTATGAGCTTGGAGATATCTAGAAGTCTGTCAAACATATTTTATTTAGTTCAACAGATTTATAAAATTCAGTTTATTTATTTTTTAAATACAATAAAGACTAGAAAAATTCAATAATTTTTTTTTAGATTCCAAAATTTTATGGTGCACACTTCTTTGATATATTTCTTAGTTTTACTCCAATGCACACTTTATTTGTCCCACAGTGCAACGAATGCATTTAGCTACGCCAAGTCCATTTGTGCGCAATATGTCCTGCCGGCAGCTCTGCATGGAAGGCTACATTCTGTAGCTGCCGCATATGCAAGTACATATGTATTATGTATGTATGTAGGTGTGCATGTACATATGTACGGTTAACAACTGCAGCATGCCACACGAAATCGTGGAGGTTGCGGCAATGTTAACGATGATGCCTGTAGCTGTAAGTAGAACAAATCACAAATTTGTAGTGTCGGAAAAAATATGGGCGCATGGCGCTTTGGGTGGGTGGGTGTGCAGTACCAGTGGCGCACGGCTCGCATAATGAAGACATACAAAATTATATGCATACATATTTAGGTATGTGCGTGTGTGTGTGATAGGGACATTCTGAGCGTTCGTTGCCGCTTGGTTGCGTGAATGTAGAGATGTAAGTGTGGCTGTTTGTTTTTACTGCGGTACGTGTAAAACTATGCGAATGTCTTCATTTCACATTCCAACGATGGCTACGGCCGAGACTGCTATCGGCGTGGCACACGTGGTGTACGTTTGTATGTTTGTTGGTTTGTAAGTAGAAATGGCGGTTGGAAAAATACTAGCTGGAGAGTAATACTACTTACTTGCACTACATATGTATGTATATAAATACTTCATAACATACATACATATATGGGCGGATATATTAAAACGCATTTTTCTGTACATTTTACATTTTTCCTATCGCCTGCATCTGGGGACATTCACGTCATCAGCACAAGACCTACCATGCTTATACCTATTGGCCTATCTCCTACCTCTACCGCCATTCTGTTGCTCTCATTTCTTTGATTTCTTTTAGTCACTTGGCGACTTTGGAAAATTATGCAAAACTATTTGTGTATTCACGATGTTGACAGGTTTTTAGTATATTTTTTTTTTTCGCCCACATAAACTAATGACTTATTCCTTTGAGGACTACTGAGTGTGTACAATTTAGTTGGCGCCTCCTTCTGGATTTAGCGCACACTTGTATTTGTGTCACGTGCTCAGTGAATTGAAGCGTTGAAATAAAATAACATAATTAGTTTTTCTACGAGTATATATGTAAGTATGTATTCTCTTTAGATGTTATTAAATTTCAAAGGAATTTGGATAGTTTTGGTTTTAATTTCGAGGCGAGTTTTTGCTCAATGAAAATAGTTGATTCTGTAGATTTCTGATGTCACATTATATCAATTAGGTTAGGCTAGCTGGTCTGAGGTTCTAGTCAAATTTTATATGTAAGCCGTTTTAAAAGAGTTTTGGTACATAAACATTAGGCTTGGGTAGTTCTTGAACTAAAGAACTAGTTCATCTCAATGAACTAGCTCACTAGTTCGGTCTTTTCATTGAACTACATTTTTCACTACTAGTTCTGATTTTGGATCACGATCCAAATACTGACAATAAATATTGAACATGTAGCAGGCGCCTTATACAATTTTCCCAATTGTTCAAAGATACAAAAAATCTTGATATGGCAATCCTTTTTTTATTTGTACGCCAAAAGCAGATTTCACGGAAATATTTTCATTTGCATATTGTGTATTTGTGTCAATTGGAGATATAGAAAGTATATTTATTATTATACAATATCGAAAATTTTTATTGACTAATTTTTACTATGTGCAGATGATTGGAATGAGAAAGCGGAGTGCAGTATGGTCCCACTTCATTGAAGTAAATGATAAGAAGGCAAGGTGCCGGTACTGCCAAATAAATATCAGTTTTAAATGTGGGTCGCATGGCAATCTACAGCGGCACATGAAAGCCAAGCACCCGTTCATCTCAATCGAGCACCAACAGTGTGAAGAGAGGCAATTGGAAAAGGAGTCAGCGCAGGAGCAAGGACAGAAAGCAACACAGGCAATGCGGGAGTTATCACAGCCAGAACCAGCACAGAGAACGAGCGAGCAACATACTGTGGCTGAGCAACCAACAATTTCACATTACGTAGATAAACCATCAACGGGCAGAAAAGCTAAACAAATCGACAAGCAGCTCGTCCAGATGATCGCAAAAGGGCATCATGCACTACGAATCGTGGAGGAACCAGAAATGAAGAGGCTGATTCAAATGGTGTCACATTGTCCTAACTACCAACTCCCATGCAGGAAAACAGTTTCTGAAAAAATTTTACCACAAATTTATGAAGAATTACTTGCCAAAGCAAAACGTAAGGTTTCCGAATCAACTGCAGTATGCCTCACTACAGATGGGTGGACGTCGCGTATTAACGAGCATTTTATTGCTGTCACTGCACACTTAATAGACAAAAATACAAATCTTTGCTCCATTTTGATCTGCTGTAAGCAATTTAGCGAGAGGCATACCAGCGAAAATTTATGCAACTTTTTAAAAGAAGTTATGACTGAGTGGCAAATTTCACACAAAATTGCAGCTGTAGTAAGTGACAATGCCCCAAATATAATAAACGCTGTTCGACTAGGAGAGTGGAAGTCAATAGGTTGCTTTGCTCATCTTCTCAACCTGATTGTTCAACATGGAGTTGCAGAAATATCAGATGTTTTACATAAAGTAAAAGCAATTGTGGAGTTTTTCAACCGAAGCCCACGCGGACTTCAAAAACTTATGGATGTACAAAGACAACTGAATTTATCTCCCCTGAAGCTGAAACAAGATGTTTCAACCCGTTGGAATGCGACATATGATATGCTTGAGCGCATTTTAAAATTGAAGGAGGCAGTGGTCACCACTATAGCACTTCTGCGTTCTGATCTCATCATTGACCAACAGAGTTGGGAAATCATAGAGGGGGCTTTGCTTCTTCTTAAGCCTTTTTATGAGGTTACCATGGAGATAAGCTCAGAAAAAAATGTTACATTGTCTAAAGTAATAGTGTTTAACAAACTAATTCAAAATTTTCTTTTGAAGTATTCATGTCAAAATGAAAAAGTAGTGGCTTTAAAAGAGTCTTTAAAGAGAGGTATGCAAGCTCGATTCAGAAATTTGGAAATGAATTCTTTATATGCAGAATGCACTATGCTTGACCCTCGATTTAAGCAAAAAGGTTTCAAAGACGAAAGAGCTTGTTCTGTAACTATTGACAATCTAAAACGTAAGATTGAGAATATTGAGACGACTGAGACTGAAGTTGGCATATTAGAAGTTCGCGCTACTAGTACTGCGGATGTAGGAATAGAAAGTAATATCTGGGATGAATATGATGAAAATATTAGAAATATTTCTACACCTGAAAATACAACTGCTGCTGGTTTGCGCGAATTGGATAAATATCTTAATGAGGATATTTTAAACCGCAAGCAGGATCCATTAAAGTGGTGGCACGAACGTAAAGACGTGTATCCCCATCTTTACAAATACGTTTTAAAACGCTTTTGCATTGTTGCTACTTCAGTTCCATGCGAACGAGTTTTTTCGGGGGCAGGTCAAATATTAAACGAGCGTAGAACTCTTTTAAAATCCAACAAGCTTTCTAATTTAATGTTTTTGCACAGCAATATGTAAGTCTTTACGTATCGTACATATGTGCATGCATATGTTTTTATTCTATGAATTTGTTAAAGTTTTTTTTTATAAAAATACTCGTTTATTTGTATTGTATTTATACGAAAACTCTGTAAGTGATTGATGTTAAAATGAAATAAGCTACGTACACAACAAAATATTTTTGTGTAACAACAATAATGCTAAGAAGATGACCATTAGTACAAATATGCCATCCAATGAAAAAGGCTGAATAATTTTTATAAGACTTAAGTTCCTAAACATACGTTTTTTGTGTATGTAAAAGTATTCTGTGAATTCAAATTACCAAATGTTTTGGTTTGTATGTAAAATAATAAAAATAATTGAACTTTGTTTAAAATAACGTAAATGTATTCGTCAATTGAATTAAATGAAATAGTGAACTAAATGAACTAAAGAACTAGTTCACTAAGGTGAACGAACTGCAAGTGAACGGTTCACTCAAATGAACTAAATTTCCCAACTCTAATAAACATCGATATAAATATCATAATTTAAAAGCCGAACGTAAATGTCGTAGATTTGACAAAAAAAAAAAAAAAAAATACTTTAGACTCAGAGTTATAAGGCGAACTTTTTTTCTGGTGCGGTCTTATATACGTACATAGATTATGAATATACATACTTTCACTGTTTTCTGATTTAACTAATTGATTTTATGAAAATTTTTTATTTCCTACGTTGTTCTTGATTGCTCTACTTTTAACCAATTTCGCGATAAATGAATTGAAAAAAGAAAAAATTAATTCATATTTAAGTCAACGAGTGGATGCAATCAAGCGACACAGCTAATTCTGCAATTCGTCCTGTCAGTTTGCTGCTGTGTCCGAATATAACTATTCATAATGAAATCAATTTTCAATCAATCAGCCAGCGGAAAGACTGACAAAAAATAACGGGAAACAAGTAAATTTACAACCAATAAAAATATGTACATGTGACAGCTTAACTAAAATAAAAAAAAAAACAATTAACCACTTTCGCTGCAAATGGGCTGCAGGAAAAATTTTATTTAATATGGAAACATGCCTACAGTGTAAAAGGACTGGCAAACTA